CTGCTGATCCCTGTGCAACATCCAACCGATCGATTTATCTTGAATAGTCGGCGCAAAGTATCGGTTTGCAAGAGCAAATAACAGACAGGGAGTCGGAAGACGCCTAGAGCGGCTCTTCCTCTTATACGATCTACAATATCTATCTTGAGACCACTCTAGTACGATCTTTCTAGCGCACATGGTAGCAAATTCAGCGGTCAGTCGCCGCTGGCAGTTTTCGACCGCCGATCCATGTGGCTAATTACATTTAACGGGTTCTAAATATACGTTGGTTCGCGGGGCAAAATGCACCTGCTGCGATCACTTCCTCGTCAGCCTTCTCCGGTTTCGGTTTGCTGTCCGTCTCGTCGTCGGACGCAGCGATGGGCTCGCCCCGTTCGAATCGTTCTTTGATGGAACGAGCGTGGGTCGAGTGTTGGATCTCCTCCGCCGCATTGATCTTCGTCACGCGCTCGCTTCCGGCTACCGCTTGCTGATACATCTCCTTCATTTTACCCTGTTTGCCCTGCAACAGAGAAATCGAGCTTCCGTTAGGTACGCTCGCACAACCCTTTGATCTCGTTTCGCTCAGAGACGTAGACAAATCTCCAAAGCCGATATACGTATGTATGTATACATGTACAGAAATATGTATATATCTCTCTCGAAAAAGTTCTTCTTTTCTACAATCTTTCCTTTCACGCTCTACCCTTCTCGTAAATGGACACCAGAGGGTGCAGTAGTCGTTGTTCGTACTTTGTTCTTAAAATATCGAACCCACAGCGGTTCACCGTGAGGATCGAACGAACGAGAAATATCGTTCGCCATCGTAATCGCTACCGTGCACGTGTTACTCGAAGTTAAGCGCGTTCTAAAGAGAGAATGCGTGCGCTACATTTCCTCCTCTCCTACTTTTTCCACGTCTACGTCTAATGGACTCGATGCCATTACCCCGGACTACTTCCCGGCCGATTCAGATGCTCTCGAAATTAACTCGGACGCCATGGGATCGTGTCATTCTCGAAATCACGGTGTAGCTCGCACCGTAACGGTTCAACGAGCCCGAAAACGAACGCGAATTTACCATGAACAATCTCGAGCGAATTCCAGCGATCTCCTCTTTCCTCGCCTCCCGTTGCACCTCCCGTCTTCCCTGCTGGCTGGTCGTCTCCCAACGATTCTTTATGTCGTCCATCTTCGTGAAGCTGATGGGTCGCTCGCGGGTCGCGCGTTTCGCCTTCACGATCTCGCTGTCCACCTCTGCGAAACAACAACACGGATACCTTCCATTACTGCCATCTCGCGTCGAAAACATCGTCCTTCGATTTTCGCGAAATTCCGTTCTCCAGAGCGAGGTATCGTCGAGTAACGTCGACCATTATCGAGTAACTAACATCGGTATGTGACATCGAGTTATTAACAGTTATTAACAATAGATTTTCGATGCATGGATAACAGCAATTTCGCTGATACGACGAAGGTAAATAAATATATATATATATATATAATACCAGTTCTATCTGAATTACAGTCAACGTTAAGTTTGCTACAAGCAGGTATTTACGTAGATTTTCAGTAATTACAGAAACAGAGAGTCTGAGACCAGTCGTTTTACTGGTTTGGTAATTACTAGTGTTCTTCAACGAGATTTTGTTCCTTACAAATACTCTTACAACGGACTACGTGTATTTACGTGTCTTCATAACCTCAAATTCTCGTTAGTCGTACAAAAATGAATGTTCCTGAGAGCGTCAGGTCGGACAAGTGAAACTGGTATTGAATGTAATTCAACGGATCGAGTCTAATTGCCTGGTTTCTGTGGAAAATCGCTTATGAGGCTCGACAATGAGACGTTATTCGGTAGCTTTTGAACGGTTACTCGAAGCTTTCCCAATGGCGACGTCCCATCGTGCAGAAGGGGCTGCAAAAAGAGCTGCCTCTCTCGAGGAAATACGGCAGGGACAAAGGGAAGACAGAGCTTAAGCCACGAAACACGGGCTACGTGGAATCTCGATTTGAATTAAATGTTTCTCCGCGTCCTCACCCTCCGTTTCCTCCGTCTCTTCCTCTTCCTCGCTCTCGCTCGACTCTTCGTAAGGGATCCCATTCAGAGACTCATCCGCCACTCCGATGTCCATGCCTTTGGCCTGGAATCTGGACAAAAAGACGTGCAAAGTAGTCGCAAACATTCCGGCGAATTCTGATTGCTTGGCACACGGACAACGCCGACACGTTTCTTCGCCAAGCTCTTTTATGCGGAGCCCGCGATGGCCGCGAATGAAAATCGCTGATCAGCCGAACTTGTCGCAATCGAGGGTACGTTGGCAAATTCGTCTCTGTATTACTTTATATTCGCGAATCTTAGCTTGCAGATTTTTCGAGCGACGCAGCTGTGCTTCATCGAATTACACGTTCGCCATTATTTATCTCCTTCGATTAACACGTTGATCATCGTGTGGACAACAGTCGTATCTCTTTTGGACCGTGCTACGAGCACATTTCACGTTTTAACTTTCGAGACATTAGTAGAAAAACGCGAGAGGCATATTCGATTTAAGCTCGGCGATCAACGTGTTATCGGAAGGTTGAAATTTCTTCGTTCGATTAGAAGAAGTCTCGTCAGATTGACTGATCGATCGATCGAAAAAGCGTGCGCGATTGCACGGAGCAGCAGAGGAGAAGGGCTGGTACAAAAGAAGCAAACGCGAGGCGAAAGATTATCCGTGTTCCAAGAAAAACGTCGTCTGCGCTGAGCCACAGTAGTCCTCGTTGTGTCCATCTCGTGGAAACGAATCTGTGTCACGGCTGAGAACCATCTCCTCGACCCACGGCGTCGTCGTATATGGTCGGTGGAACGAGAGAGGAGAGAGTGAGGCCAGGACGATTCGACGAGCTGGATGCATAGGTGGACTCCGCCAAAACGATGGATTACTCACTTGGCGAGCTTGCTGAGGATACTGGGAGACCTCTTCACGGCGATCTGCGACGGCGACCTTTCGATCTCGTTGGTCTCCGCGCCGGCCTTCTCGAACACTTGGAACCGGGACTTCACGTTCAGGCTCGACAGCTCCTCGAGACCCAGGTCCGGTTTGTCTGAGGCTGTAATGGAGAGGAAAAGACATTTCCGTTCAATATTCTCGCAGATAGAATCTCGGGTATTCGCTTAGATTGATGGTACACCGTTGTTGATGCGATGGTTATGATTTCTAATGGTCCGATAGGCGACTCTGGTCTGTATGCGTTCGGGAGTCTAGCCAAGCTGTGATAAAATCGTTCAGTTCGCTCTAAAGAGGTTTACTGCGCGAGTTAGTCGTTTGGGAACGGAGTGGATCGGATCCCGACAATCTCGTGTCCGGTGTGCTTCGTTGGAAAACAACTGCTCTGACTCGTTGATTATACGTGTCTCTTAAATACGCTAGCTACGTGCTCGTTCCACACGCGGACTCGAAATTGTCACGTGTCGTCATGCAACGATGATTCTGCCTCACTACAGCGACGTTACAGCATCCGTCGTGACGATAACGACAGTAAGAAAAAAAAAAAAAAAAAAAAAAAAAAAAAAAAAAAAAAAAAAAAAAAAAAAAAAAAAAGAAAAATAATAAAGAAAAGAAAACTAAAAAATGGAAAAATATAGAGGATCGGAACAAACCAAACAACCGATAATACGAGGAATGGAATGGAGGGGAAGAGAAACGAAAAAATGGTACGAGTGCGAAGAAATGAGGCAAAAAAAAAAAAAAAAAGAAAAGGGAAAAGTCTCCACAGGGATGGCTAAGAATGCGTGGTGTCGTTGTTAACGATAATCAGCGGTATTAAGAGGGGTGCACTCTGCAAACGGTTAGACAACTGTTAGATAGTCCACTCTTGGACGACGTTTGTCGCCACTTGGTCGCACACTACCACCGTCAGAACTATTACCTCTGACCACATCGGGCGGCAGCTCTTTCGGCTCGTTCTCCCGTATGATCAGCTCCGGCTTTCGAGGTCGCACTACGAAGTTCACAAGACATCTCTTTGTCGCATTAACGATCTCTCTGCATTTACGTGTAATTATATAGGGGAGGGAAGATCGGGGAGCAGGGGAGCAGACAGAAGGGAAGGAAGAGTAATTTCAGTACGGCTACGATAAAATGGGGGGCCTTGCGAGTCAGGGTCCCGCGTGGAATACACGACGGTACGTTTCGCTCGTTCGTCCGCAACGGCAATCGGATTTCCTTCGAACGGGGACCAACCTTTACGCGCTTTCCGTTAATTCGCGACCGGTTTCGCTATCTTTCATCCGCAACAGGAGACGAAACTCGCTCCGAGTCGAAACCGGGAGAAAGAAACGGAAAAGAGAGATAGAAAATAAAAGGGGGAAACGAAAGAAACGAGAAAAGTTTGGCGAGTTCCTTTGATTCCGCGGATGCCTTTGAAGAGCGCGAAAGAAAGACCGGGGTAAACGTGGATGGTTTACGTTCGCGTGGCGGATGCAAAGAAAGAAGACACAGGCCCGCGAATACCGGGAGGCGGTGATACGAAAGCGACCAGAAAGATTCGCGGAGATTAGATCGAGAGGCTATTTCGAGGCGAGTTCCGCCTACGTCTAGCAGCGCGAGGAGAGCGTGGCGTAAACGGTGCGGTGTGATCGACTTACCAGGCTGGTCGGACTCTTCAACCGGTTTCGGTTGGAAGAGTTCCTTGAAGTGTGGCTTACAGTAAAGCGTGCTCTCGTGGCTCTCGTAATTGTCCACGTTAAGCTGCTTGCTACACTGGACGCACCGGAAGCAATTCTTGTGCCAGACCAGACCCTCGGCCTTTGTCTGTTCCATTTGGAAGACGACCTTGCCGCAGCTGCGGCAGTTCGGATTCGTGTCGCCATTTTGACCCACCTGCTGTCAAATTCGATTATTCTTCCACCGGCTCTATTCTCTCCCCCCTTTACCCGTGCCCCCCTCCTCCGTCCCTTTAATCCTTTGTTTTCGTTGTGCCGATTACGTTGATCGGAGCCTCGGGTAAACCTCGGCAGATCGCGACAACGAGTTCGAGTCGACTCCGAAGCGATTAAAGGCCCTTCGTCGAGGGGACACGGTGTAACGAAGTTATTTCGAAGAGAAAAAGGAGAAGCGACGTTTTCCTCTCGGTTTTCTTCCCCAGTTTTCGCGATTTAAAGGTTAATCCTTCAGCCGAGAGTTTCTCCTCGAGCGAACAGCTCCTTTGTGTTTCCTCGGCTGCGAGAGAGAACGGGCGAGCTTGGCACGATCAATTCCGCGCGAACAGCTCGAAACAGAAAGGCTATTTACACGCTCTCCGCGGCTGAAGGGTTAAGTACGTCAATCTTAAAGTATCCCGAGAGAAAGAGCGAGCTAGAGAAGATGGAGAGAGAGAGAGTGAGCTTACGGCGTTCAGCTGCTGTTGCACTTTGCCCGCATCGATCGAGCGCACATGCAGCACCGTCTTCTTGCTGAGGGCGTCGAATTTATTGAAGCTCGACTTCTGTAAACACAAACAGTGCGCGCGTCAAACGAGAAGTGGTCGAAAACCTCGGCCCTGTTCTTGTCGTCGGGGGAGGAAGCCTCGTGGGATTCGTGTTTCGTTCCCAGCCTGAAGCTTGTTCAGCGTGAGCATGAAAGCGTGTTTCGCCGATCGGGAAAGATTCGCCATTTCGATCTCTCCTTTTTATCTCTGTCATTTTCCCGGCGAATTTTGAAAACGGTGCCCACGGTGAACACGTTCGCCACGGTGAGGCGGTAACGAGTCGATTCGTGCGTGTGTCGGGGGTGTACTCCTCGAAGCTCCCCGGAACGGAACAACAGAACAGGAGACCAATGGCGTCCGATCGTTTGCTTGCAAACCCATCGGATTGGAACGAAAGCCATCCGGATCTCTACGCTGCAGAATTTCTACACTATCGCGACAATCCTACTCTACGTGGACCAAACGGGACCGACGGAATAAAAGAGCGGAGAGCTTTCGTTCCAATCGAGTGTAAACCAAAGGATACGTTTCAAGCGAGTCTATGTAAAAGTCGCGATCTCGTTGCACGGATTAGCAACGATCCAAGAAGCAAATCCCGTTTATCAAGCGATCTAGAGAGAGAGAGAGAGAGAGAGAGAGAGAAAGAGAGAGAAAAAGTCGAGTGCCAAGAGAAGAAAGCAAAGAAAAGCAGCGTTGGCAGGCGAAAAGCGTGGAAAGTGGAGGAAAACGTGAGAGGAGATGAAAGCTTCGTGCAGAACCGACCGTATCGTGGTTATCACTTCGGGAGTCTTACCTCGAGCCTCGGCCGATCCGTGTCCTTACCCTCGCTCGTTAAGTTTGCCAAACTACAGTAGGAAGCCCTCTGTCCCGAGGTCGGTTTCGTAAGTTTTCGATTAAGGTTTCATGCATCCCGGGGCCGGGGAAGGCACCGAACAAAAAGAAAGAAACAGCACGGGCTGCGGGTTAGTGTCGGCTGGTAAATAATCGAAGCGACTACCTTCATTCTCGAGTTCGAGATTCAGCGGTTGGCGGCCTCGCAAATTTTCTTCGCCCATTCGTGAACGGGAGAATTGCTAATACCAACAGACCTCGTCGCGTTTCTCGTTTGCTTCTTCTTCCTCCATCGTCTACACGCGAAGGAGGCATAGGGGCGTGTGCACGGGGCGACGTGGAAGCAACTTCTCAATTTCGCAAAGATATCGTCGTGAACGACGAAGCAGAGATCGGTGGTCCACCACTAGGTGCATTCGATGGACTCATTCCGGTCCCTGTCTGAATTTTTCAACGAGGTTTCCCAATTTCCCGCGGAGTTGCTTCAGCGTCGCCCGGCAGATGGAAAATCCGAGTTTGGGTCTCGCAATCGGGGGAAAAGCGTTGACCGAGGAAATTAGTACATCGCGACACGGATGGCACGCTCGCGTGCGTGAGCTAAGGTCCCGAGAAGGAAGGGAATCGTTAACCGATAAGCAAACGGAGAAACGCGAGTGAATTGGCAGAGGAGCCCCCGTAAAAGGTTGTCGCTCGCCAATTGGTCGCTACGAATCTTCGCCAACCGCTGCATCGCATGAGCGAAGAAAAGAGGACAAAGGAGAGAGAAAGAGAGAAGAACGAGAGAGGACAGAGCACGGGGACAGCTGGAATTGTTTCCCGGGTTTGAGCTTCGAACGGCGTTTCTTTTTGGCACGGACTAGCGTACCCGATGCTTTCTCCGGCACGGCGCGGGTACGTGCTCGTCCGCGTGGTCTTTTCATCGTACCAGCCGGATCTATGCAAATTGAAATTTCGAACTTCACCGACCGACTCCGGTAACAGGGCGTCTGGGTCGCCGGCGTGAATTGGCCCATTGAAAAACGCGGTAGAAATGGCGGGAAAAGCCGAAAAGGGGGGCCCCCACCCGGCTGTGCCGATTTCGGCGTTGCCGAACGAATCGGAGTCGGGACGATTTCACTGCGTTCACCAGCGGCTGTGATGCCGAGGAATTATGTCACTCGACTCGAAATCCGTAACCGGATAACCGATAAACGACGGATACTCGCGGCGAAAAACTCGTAAGACCTCGATTCTCGGCCATTGCTGGCGCACAAAGTGGGGCAAATGAGTAGTAGGTTATTATCAAAGCCGGCCCTCCCTTAAATGGAGAGACAGCATTCGCGGCGTGACGGCGACCGACTCCGCGGCAAAACGCTCCGGCCTCGCCAACCACGGCGTACTCGAGCGGATCGCTCACGTGCACACGCTCGGCAAATTACCCCGTCTTTCGATCCTACGCGTACCCGACTTGCCGGCGTTTCTCGGAAAGCGCGGAAAAATCGCTTCCCTCGCACGAATAGCGAAAGAATACGCGTGTCCGTCGATCGGTGAACGCGGCATATTCCAGCCATCCGCCATGTCGTCCGACAGGTTCACGAAAGGTACTTACGAGGGCCTTGACCGACACCCCGGTGAAGACGAGCGCGTCTTTGGCGAACTTCGAGTAACCCTTCTCGCATACTCGCAGATCACCCAGCGACCTTGCTTTCTACGATCGTTGGGAGCGTCAATGGGAACTCAGATTAGCGGCAAGTTTGCGGACAGTTTCGCGGAGCCGCGAGCTTTGCCAACTTTTCCCACCCCTGTCACCTTCCACCCCCTCGAAAACATCCCTCCTCGAAATTTTTACCACTACCCTCGCGTTTACGCGTGTACAGGGGCGTAATTGCCCCGAATTTTCGCGAATTTTTCTACTTTTCTCGAGAGGTAGGCGTACAACAGTGTGCCAGAGGTTCCGCGAGCAAAGCTCGCGCTCCTTATGCGATTAGTATGCTGTTACGATAATCAGGATAAATTATTTGTTCGTCGTCCAGTTAATCCTATTGCCACACATCGCGAAGCGAAATAACGGAAGTTCGAAGTAGCTCATGCATATGCCGAGCAACATGCTCGCGACCGACTCCAATTACGCCGGGGAGTTCTTCGTCTCCGACGAATTGAAGCGATTTAACGTTTCTGCTTTTACAATCGACGCGACGAGCCAGGAAAGAAAGTAAAAATAAAAATAAAAAAAAAATGAAAAAAATGGAAGAGAAAAGACAGGAGAAACATGGCAGCGATTTTCAGGGATGAAAAAGCTGCGAGAATCTATTGTCGCGAGATTGAACGCGCGTTTTCGCCACCAGCTCGTTAACCCTCGACTGCGAAGCTCTCTCTCCCGTATCCTGAATCATCTTTTCAAATTACCGCCTCGCTTAGGCTCGCCTTCCTACCCGTTCCGTTAGTCGGTGGCGAACAAAGCGAGGGAAACACCTGACGAGCGGGCCCAGCAGGTTATTCCCGAGACGTGCGACGAATTTTTTAGTCAATTAGAAGCTACGTGTCGAGGGTTAAAGCAGCCGATGTTGACGCGACCGTGCTTGGTAAGATTGCTCTATAGCCGATGCGACGTAACGGAAACGAAAATCGAAAAATAGGTGAGTCAGATGATACGATATACAAACCTCTTCGGTGTCCATCGTGTGATTCGCTTTCCCGTACGTCGTCTGATCGCCGTCGCTCATGTTCGAGATGTCGCCAAAGCTACGACACTGTTAGTGACAAAATACAACTGACAAAGTGTAATTCGACAGCCATTAAAGCGGTTTACGCTTCAGCCGCGCGAACAAGCGTTCGTTATAAAAAGATCGTCGTTAAACGGTGAAAATTCGACGCGGTCGTCGATGATTAATCGTGAACCCGACGATTCTATTAGAAGATACGCGAATATACGAGAAACACGGTGTTCGATCACCGTTTCCTACTTACCAACTGTTTGATCGACACGCCGGTCGCGATCTTTTCCTTCGTGCATCGATCCTGCTCGTTTCGAGTCGCCTCCGATACATAATTCTGTGTCTGCATGCACAAAATACAATGCACAGGGTACAAAGCTAATCACATGCGACTGGGTACGGTGATTCATAGTCTACTTGGGCTCTCTCAATCGGACTTCTACTAACGTCGCTGGATAGAAACCTCGATATATCACGATACTCGTGGGTCGTTACATTCGATACATTCGCTATACATGCAGGATAATATACGAGTAACAATTTAACCAGGAATTCATTAGCGATCTCTCTACCACTGGTGTCTCTATCTCGGGGACCGCGTGAAGCGGCTCTTTGTACATCGACTGACCAAGTACGTCAAAAGATCCCGAAACAAATTTACGCGAGATCGATCTTCGTCACCCACGTGGCCCCGTACGAGTCTTGTCACCGCACGCCAGCAGTTCACACCGTGGTAGCGCGTTCGCCATTTTCCATCAGCGATTTATCAACGATCGTGTCCCCAACCACTTCCCCGTCTACGGCTCCTCGAGCTGATCAACGCGACGCGACGTTTCTACGCGAAATTTACGCGAAATTTACGCGAAATTTACGCGAAATTCATCTACCACGTCGGACCCGATAGATCCGAACGGGCCACGCGAGGTACCGTATCGCGCTTACGGGTTTTTCCAACGATCGGCGAAGGAAGAGAAGAGAAAAATGCAGAGGAATCGCGTGCAGAAGGCGAGTCGGATTCCTCGGTCGATGGCGCGCGCGCGTGTGATCGAGACACGTGGTGTTGGACTCGAACGCGTAACGGGCTACCACGCTGGATCGGATCATGGATCGCGAACAATTTGCTGGCTCGCGACGCGTGCACGCGCGGAAAAATTGCAACTACTTTGCGCGCTCGCGTGGAAACCTTTCTATCTCCATCTTCTCCTCTGTGCGATAGGAAGTCGTGGCGACTTGGCGGTCACGTTAGCGAGACTTACCAGAGATTTCACGTTCACGTTCGATAGATCGTTCTCGTCCGAGAAATCGAGGCTTTCCGGGTTCATCTGCCGCGGACCAGGGTGCATGCTCGGCTCTTGCAAGTTAGAGTTCTGACAAACAGACAAACACGCGCACACTGTACATGCAACACTGTTACAAGAGTCGGAGGGATTAGATCGGTGTCTCTGAGGATTCGGCTTTGGCTTCCGGGACTCTAGCCCTTTCAGCGTTCCGTGGTCGGGAGTATTGTCTGGGTGAGGGAATCGGGGAGATAGCGACATTGTCGTCGCGGAGGGAGGCAAAGATAGAAACTCGGAATATCGATCTCGGGAAATGTCCAACTTCCGAAGAGTTTTCCCTTCGGAGCGGAACTTTCGCAACTTTTTCCTCCAGACGTGGACGCCATTGTCCCGGGGACAGGCTCGCAAGTTGTCTTTCGTCGGACGTCGAGAATGGGATTACGCGATGGACTGGGGGCAGAACTGGAGGAGAGAGGAGGCTGTCGTCTCGGCGAGAAAGGTTCCCATGGAATGCTCGGGGAAAGAAATTGGCTGGTCGGAAATTCGCGTTCCTCGGAACGAATCGAGCGACGAATGTAAAAGGGAAAAACGGAAAAGCCGAGATATCCCGTTCTCCTCTCTGGGTCTGAGTCAATTAAAGTGAAAAGCTTGGAAACTATCGCTCGGAATCGGACGCATGCAAATAAGGATTAAACAGGGACTTCCGGTTTTCGCCGCGAGACCACGGCCATCGTCTACCGACGTGGATGCTTCGACACCGCTAATTAACACGACATAACGGTTCATGCAGACCGTGTGTGTTTATACCGTGGGTCGTGCGTATATACTCCGTCGCGAGCGGGATCCTCGATCTCGATTCGATCATCTCGACATCCGGCTGCGACTTTTCCTCGTCCGCAGGAACAACATGGCGCGCGACTCCGCCATTCCTCGCCCCTCGGCCGCGCGGACGCTGTATAACCCTGTAGAAAATTAACGAACGCGCGCCGCGGTCCGTCCACTTACCACGGAGATGTTCTCCTTCTCGAGCTCGCTCTTCTTGCTCTTCTTGGTCTTCTTTGTACGGGGAGTGAGGTTCGGCGAGGCATCGTTACCGGCGACGCCCTCGATCTTCTTCTTCTTCGTCTTGGTCCCACCCTTCGTGCCCGCCGAGCTCACCACGCTCGTCGTTGTTATCGTCTCCTCCCGGCTTTCACTCTGCGTTAACACGGAAAAATGCATTTTTATTGTCTGCTCGCAGGCGTTCAATGACCCACCGCGCCGCTCTTTCAGACGTTTAAACTAATTTACGCCGTACAAGCTTACGCGCGAAATAATTTCCCGACCTCGCGAATTCCAAGCTTTGGCATATTTTACACGCTTACGCCGCTGTTCTCCGCGTGATTTTTCCCGGGGTGATCGCAATCTCCATTTGGAGGAATTAATATTCCCAGGGATACTGGAAATTTTTCATAGAATTTTTCGCGCGGGTGTACGTTGCTTTGGCATTTACAGGTATAAATAACGCCTCGGCCGTTTTTAACGCGTGTCCTTCCGCGGACATGAGCCTCGCGTAATCTTTAATCTCGGCTAAATTAGAGGATGTCGCTCGAGCAGTTTTCCTAATCATATCCTCCGAGTTCCTTCGAGCGTCGTCGGCCATCGAGACGCGCATCCGGAGGGAGGAACTCGGGCTGGAAAGTTGCGAAAGATTGAAAGTCGTATAGTTAATAACGGTGATCCGGCGATGTTAATACTCGAACGGTAATCCGACCTGGTTCGTCGTCTTTCGAAAGTTCGCGGATCGGTGCTTTTCGATCGTCCGATGGATTTTCCTCTCACCGGTCCATCGCGCGTGTTCCTCGGCCTGCTGTTTTGCATATTGGAAAGGTGACACTTTTCTCGAATCGTTTGCCGACACTCCGGCGAAAATGGATCAGCGCTTTCGTTCGATCTCCGCGTCGTTGATCGAGGTTGCCGATTGCGACCGGATCGCGCGAGGCGCTCGAGATCGTCCGGTTCACGAGGATATCCGCGGATTCCTTCGTGTACGATACGCTGGAATGCGATCAACGGACAAACTTGTCGAGGAAGAGCGAGTCCATGCGCTAACTAGGTATTAATGATCGAGCAGACGCGAACCGAGCGATCTTCCGGGCTAACGAGCGGATCGTGCGCCAACTCTCGCGGACAATACACCGGCTCGTGGAATATTTTCTACGAATCCATTCGAAAGTAGAATATCTCTTTATTAACGACTCGAAGCTCGATCCTCTGCGCGCAAATGCAGCGATGTACGATGATTTATAACGATAACTTTTACTCCGCGGGGCCAACGTATATGGCGGGAAAGAGTACTTTCGATGCTATCGCCGGTGTTCTTTTATTTCAAAAATATTCCACGGTTCGTTATTTTCCACTCGCTACATATTCCATGCGTCGCGATTTCTCGGAATATTTTCTAAAAATTCTATTCCGTCGAGAGCAGTTAATCATCGCGTACCACTCTATTCTGCGAAAAAAATAAACATGGCCGCGCGGGAGGATATTATAAACGGTTAGGGGCGGAATAAATGACACCCCTGCGAGCCGTTTAAACGCAACGCTGATCTTCTCACGCTGATTTTTGTCCACGGTCGTTATGCCTAATGAATTTCCGGTTCTCGCCACTGGCCTCCGCGAGTCGATAAGGGAATCGGTTGACGGATCGGCCCGGTCGAACCGTGCAATTTACAGGGACTTTGTTTTATGGCGCTCTTAAGGGTCCCGCTTTAATTGACACGATTCGCGGTACAGTAATTAAATCTCTGATAAATATTCATACGTGGAGCCGAGCGGATCGTTGCCACACGAGATCGCGATCTCGCGCCAGATGTTGGTAAACACTGCCGATGTCTCGCGATGATCTCCCACAGAGGGAGTAGATTCATCCCGGAGAAACCACTCTAAGCTCGAAATTTCGCGATTCGGCTTCGACTCCGATCTCGGCTGTCAATTACGCGCCGACGAAAGCAGCGTGGCGAGCCGAGAAGATTCCTCTTGGTTCGGCTGAGCTTAACGAAGAGATCCCGACGCGGAATTAGTTAGGACGATCGCGGCGCGCCTGGCGATAACTTTATCGCGATCCTCTTATTAGGCGACGCTGATCGACGCGATGCTTCGTTACGAGCGTCGCTCCTGCCCGACACGCGTAATTACATGGCCACGTAACTCGAGGAACCCGATTCGAACGGCGATTACGCGGCGTTCTCGCCGAAAGGCAACGCCGAGGAGCCTTTCGAAAGTCACGCAGCCACGTTTCCCGGCCCGTGTCCGCGCCTCCTAATTAATATCCTCCTGCGATCCTCGAGGTTCCCTTCTCGCGCCCTTCTGTCGCCCTTCTCGCACGCTCCTGGTGCCCTTCCGGCGCCCTCGAGGACGGTGAAGAGGATCGGGAAGAGGAACGTCGCGTGGCCGGCGAATCCGATGAAAAATAAGATGGTCACGGTGAACGGGAACAGGCAGGATCTTTCGTAACCCTGAGCCAGACTTTCTAATTCGGACGCTTCCGATTCACTTTCACAAATTTCGGAGCCAGGAGCCGCTGAATCGCGCAGTTTTCGCTTCCTTCTTGCTTTCGATCGCACACGAGCACGCGAACGTCCGCACGGGCTATGGTCTGGTTAGGCCACTGAGGATCCGACGCGATCCTCGAGAGGAAACGACGGTTCACACGTACCGTGGAAAATCGCGGGGCTTCCTTCACGCGAGCAGCCTCGCAACCGATCCTAATCTGTCTCACTTTCTCGCGCCCGGCGATCGCGGCGACTTGGAAACTCGTCGGGCCGGAGACTCCGTGGACGAAGGATCGAGCATCGCGGAGACACTGTGACTATTTTTGCCGGGAAATCGCGAGGCAACCGAGTCGGTCCTGCCGGGTCGAGCACCGGCTAGCCACTCAGGACGACGGCGCGCGTCTACCTTGGTAACGAGGTCGACGAAAGCTGACGGAAGAAGTACAGGGAGCAGACGAGAGGGAAGGAGAGAGTGTAAGGGAATGCAGAGAGAAGGGGAACGTGTTCCTCGAGCGCCCTGGGACCGGCTCCCTTAGCGCTGGCTCGGGCAGACGGCTGCGATACCGATCGGAAAAGCGTCGACGAATGAAAACGGGAACCGTCGAGGTGGCAGCGTTTAACAATTAGAAGTAACCGAGGATAAATCACAGGTGGTTGGAATTAAACGAGCGACGAGTCTTCTACGGGCTAACGGAAGCAAACGCAAAGTCGAGGGAATATGCATGGACGGAGGAGTAGCCAGACTGTGATCAGCGAAAGAACGGTCTGCGTAAGAATGGTCTGCGAGAGAATAGTGAGAGAACGAACGGTGAGAGGAGGAACGGTGAGAGAAAGAACGGTGAGAGAGAGAACGGTGAGAGAAAGAATAGTCAGCGATTCTCGTCGGACGACCTTGGTCCATATCCTACCTGACCGAAGATCATCCTGGTCGAGACGCGAGCGGATGATGGAGATGTTCGAGGGACAGCTAGTTCCACGACTCCGGAGATGTCTGGCAACGTTTGGAGGCGGCCAGCCAGGTTCAGGAAACTTGGTGCTCTCCAAAGCGTGGACAGCGGGAGGAAATCGTGGGGATACGCTGGATTTCCGCGATTGGCCGCTTCCACCGGACACGGGGAGACGGTTGGCCGCGTACGGGTGGCCAGGTGAAACACGCGGGGAGCAGACGGTGTTCGAATAGCAGAACGAAAGGTACCAGGCCGATCCAGCAGCAAGCAGAGTCTCAGGATTGGCCGGCAACTCTTCGTCGAAGATCGACCTCGATCCACGGTTACACTGTGCTTTCGATGTAACGCGTTCCTTCGCTTTTATGGACCTTCCACCCGCTCCGTGACACGCGCCTGTATATGCGCGTGTACGCGTGCGACGGTCATTTCGCGACACGTGATCGACGGAACCGGTATCCGAGTGCCGATAACTGGAAACCTCGCGAGCCGCAGATATCGGAAGTAAACGGTCATCTGGAAATTCCCTCTACTCTTCCAAGCTTTTCAACCTGGATTTTTAACCTGCATCTTTAACCTGGACAGCTACGAGTCCCGATACGGGAAAATTCTTGGTGCGCGTGTGTCGGACAGTGCGCTGGGACGGTTCGAGTCGTGAATCTCGAATTTTCGACCATGTTTCATCGTGGAGTTTGTCGCGACCTCGATCTAGACCAGGCTCGTTCCTGGTAGAATAGGTTACACGGCATGGGCGGTGGTCGTTGAACCGGCTGTCTGATAACTCGGTTTCGTAGCGTCGTCTTGATAAACGAGCGGATTGCTTCCGGTACGCGTTCATCTGTTCACGTGGGGCCCGTGAATTATCGTGGTCGTTTCTATTCGCGTCGACGAGGTACGTTCAACTCGTTGTTCCTCGCTCCTTCAACACGCAACGTTAGTCCGTTCACAATGGAGCTGTTAATTAATTTTTGACCACCTCTACCGGCGCGCCTGATCCAAACACGTTTGTACACTTTCTTCCTCGTTACTGTCGATGCCGTCCGAAAGTAAAAGCCTCGATAACGCGTTTTTATCTCCGCTGTTCGTCAACCTGAACACCAGTTTCACGGTGGCGTGAAACCAACGTCCGGATACACGCGATACCTGCCGGTCTTCGACCTTGCGACCACGTGTTCCTTCAATTTCTTTGTGATACCAATTACGTTCTAGTCCGGCTAGTTCGTGTCGACGGAAATTGGAGGATTGCAGAAACGATTTGCGAATTTCTGCGTACCCCTTTATCTACCGAGATAAATATAGCGTTAAATTTAAAAATAGGTTAGAGAGATAATATTAAACAACGTATAATCAACGGTTGCCGATAAGATGGTTGAATACAGATGGTTGCAATATCCCATAAATCGTTTCCCGTTTGAAAGGAAATTATTTTACACTACTCTACTATTTTATACTGTTCCTCTCCTGGTCAATCCAGTGGAAAGATTCGCAAATCGTTACCTCCTCCTTGAAACTATCTCAGTGTACAAAGTGCTATTTATGGTTGGAGTCTATTTCCACATTTTCCTGCCTAACGTCAAATGAAATTCTTGAAGGGAGAAAAGTAACACGTCGAGTCGAACTGGAAAAGTGTCAGCCTTCGAGTTTTTAATCCGCGATGAAATGACGTCGGTGCTAGCGGTTTGCACGCCAGTCGGCGAGTCATCGAGTGACTCAACGCGCGTACGTAACTCGAAATTCGTTCGACCATTCGCGATCAGCCGCGTTCTTGGTTCACGGGGTCGCCCCCGAGCCTCGATTCTTATCGGGAACCTGATTTACGCCGTGTATCCGACATTTAATTGCCGGCTTGTCGAGTTTCGGCTCGCATTACCGGCTAGCCGTAATTCCGTTCGTAGCCGTGAACTACATTCGTCCGTACTCTCACTGGGCCTCGTCGTGGAATAAACGCGCGCACGCTCGCGTGTCGTATTCTTGCCGGTGTCAATGAAGAGAAATAACGGAGAATGAAAGTGGTTACGCGTCGTTGCACGGTGTCAACCAGCCAATTAGGCCTTTGTTATCTAATTAACCGCGCTGCCGTTTACATCGCGACACCTTCTCGATTCTCCATTCCTTTTTCCCATTTTTTTCCCCTCTTTTCCTTCCCGTCTCTTTCTTTCTCTCTCCCGCTTTCTCCTCGTCGAGAAAGACGCGAGAGAGAAGATACGAAAGAAACACGGAGAGGCAAGAGCGG